AGCCAGAGGAGTTTTATGATTCCTGAACCAAAACCTTCCCCTATCTGAGGAACAAATGGAATGACGACACAAAGAGAATGTCACAGAAAAAAGAAACCTGAACATTTGCTCTCCAACCTAAGGGAAACATCCAGGTGATTAATTGGCATAATGGGTTGTTTTATTTTGTGTTTGCAGGCGTTCATATCCTGACACACATTCTGAAGACAGAGTGCAATGCTAGTTTTCATGGATATGAACAMGCATTTCCTACTGACACTCTTTTCAGTACAGAATGTCTGGCTGGCTCATGTCTTACCCTGACAACACCTTCCCCTGCCAAGTTTTATTTATATTTTCAAGCTACTTCTCTATCTGGTACCGGAGACAATCTGGCCTCGGAGGAGCACTGGACAAGGAGTCCAAGAATTCTGGGTTGCAATGGTGCCCCTCAACTATATATTGATGTCGCTCCTCAAGTCTGATTTTTCCCCCTCTACCAACTGGCAAAGTTGACTAATCCACTTCTAGAATTCAATCATCAATCAAAGTCATTTTATTTTCCTCCAAATTATTATTGAACAGGACAATGTCATGGAGAGCTTAGCGTGATGTGCACTTCCAGAATTCCTTTTCTACAAGGAAACATTCCAAATAGAACAAAGGAAAATGTTTTCCTGGAATCCTGAAATGTATCTCTTTCTCTGCAACCACTGGCTACCAAAGAAAGAAAGAAAAAAAAAAAAGCAGATAACTTTCTTATTACAAGGGGAAGAATTCTTATCTCGTTTTGAAGGGTAATATTAATCGCAAAGTAACAGTACCATTGCCTGCTAGGTACTGTTCTAAGCACTCTGTTAATTCCTATAGTCTTCACAGGAATCTTATGAGTTGTGCCTGTTATTTTACTATAAAGTAAAGCAAAGCAGAGAAGTCTGATAAACTAGCCCAGGCGACCCAGCTTACAGAGCTGAAGGACTAAGACTGACTAACATCACCTCATAGTTGGAGAATTTCTTCTTACCAAGGCTCTTAACAGAAGATAGCAATAATGTAGTTTCTGCATTACTAACCMATTGCCACATCAGTTATTTACTAATTAATTACCTAATTAATAAATATTTTCACAGATACATAGCTAGATGGGAACCAATACAAACCAATATCTGTTAGAGGCTGCCTCAAAGTCATATGTATTCAAAATGCCCACCATCACCCAATGTCTCATTGGCCATTGAGTTGCACTCATTTTATGTTAGCATATAACATGAGAGAATTCTGTAGCTCCCTTCTTACTAGCCAGTCTTACTATCTCATTACTCCTCATTAATTTTACAACCTGCCTGGGAGATGGCTGGTATCACCTCCCCATTCAGATGCAGCCTGACATGTGGTTAGGGCACACTCTGAACCAGAATGAGTGGGTTTAAATTCTAGTTCCTTCCCTTACTTGCCAGCTCATCTCAGGCCAATTGCCAAACTTCCCTCTGCCCAGTTCYCTTAGTTATCAAATAGGAATGAGAATGCAAGTTTCTACTTCCTGGAGTTATTTAAAGATTAAGTAAATGAAGGGCAAAGTGTCTTCCATAAAGTCTTCCATAAAGATTACTTATTCTTATTTTTATTAATATGTGAAATGACTTGCCAAATATCACAAGACAGGTAGTAATTGGATTCAATCCTGATCTTCCAATTCCAAATGTCATCCTCTTCCCCCAACAGAATCCCATACCATTACTGAAAAAATACCATTCTCTTGGAATCCTGCCATGTACACTAGAAGGAATTTTTYCCCATAATATTGTTCAAAGACCCACAAGGTAGGTAATAATTGTCCCTGTTTTGCAGATGATGAAACTGAGGTTCTGAGAAGKGAAGTGATTTCTCCTCAATTGCTTAACTGGTGAACATCCTTTTTCACAGTAAGTCCTAAATAACACCTAACATTCTTGAAACACCCTTTAATGTATGCTATTTTTTAAAGTGCCATCTAAAAGACATAAACTGTGATTTTCTTGTTTTGTTTGCTTTATTAGTTTGAAAGGATTAAATYCCAGCAAAAAAAACAACATGTTTGACTTGAGTGAAATATCAAAATGAATTGCTGCCTCAAATAGATTCTTCATCTGCCTGCAGGGTGGCTCCAAGCCTCAGAAATCTACCAAATGCCATTTTTAGATGGGTACTATTAGGTACCAAGCTGAACACCCACCCATTTAAGAAAAATTACTTTACAGGGCAAAGGGGAGTGAAGAACCATATTCCTCTCTGGCTCTGGGAGGAGAAAATGAACAATAAGTGATACAATCTCTTCCCTGCAGCCTCACACAATGGTGTGTCTTGCAAATGAGACATACTGTGAAACAGCTTGGGAGATGAGCTTCATCAACAATAAGTAATTTTTATTCAGATTTTATTGTTGAATACAATGAACATGATTAAATGTTTCAGATACGCCTATTCAGACCTTAAGCAAACCATCAAAAAAAAAAAAACTACTAAAAATCATCTTCTAAATCCGCTTTAGGAAGAGATTTAATTGCCAAGTTGATGTGTAGAGCTGAACCCCCCACTTGAGAGCCACTGTTCCCAAGAAGATAGTAACAACACTTTTGCACTTCCCACCTGGCCTCTTCCCTCATCCCCGCGGATCCTGCCAGCGTTGCCAAATAGTTACAACATCAGTCCTTTCAAATCACTGCATTTTGAACTTCCTAAACCTTGAAGAGGGTTTCTGTGTATGGAAAAGAACAATAGCGCTTCAAAAGCCATTCCTGCGAGTTCTTCAATACTCCATTTGAATGCTAGGGTTTCAATCAAGGACATCAGCAGACAATTTCTGATTGCTTAGAAGTTGACTTTTATGCAGCTTTGATTAGGTCGCCCTTCTCAATGGGAAATCAAGAAAATCTTTGATCCCTTTCAGTTTCCAGAATTGTTACCAAGCCTTATTGGGACAGGGAGCAAAAGAGATGGGGAAGAGGCAGTGGAGCGTTGGTACTCCAACTAACCTCTCCCCCCAACCCATTGGCTCTTTTCGCCTGTGCAATTCAGGGTTCCATCCCAAATCACTCATCGCTGAGATAATAAAAACAATGGGTGCTAATTCAGGGGGTGGGGATGGTTTATAATTTTATGGATTTCCCGAAGACCTATAATTGGCACATAAATGTACAAACGTGAACCAGATAATTAGGAGGTTCTGAACGTAAGCCACCTTTAATTTATATGATTACTTGAAAACATGTTAAGTGTTGTGAAGCTTCAGCGGAACCCCCACCAGGCCTTTATTCAAAGCCATCAACATTGTGAAAGTGCGTCTCACCGGCCAGCAGGAGGGGGGCCGGCGGAAGAAGCTGCAGCGAGGCTTCTCGCTCYGGTCTCCGCGGGCTCGCTGGGAGAAGCATTGTAGCCTACGCCTTAGAGGAGGCCTCGCCTGCGCGTCCAGCCCCGGGGCAGAGAAAGGCGCACTCCTTCTGCAGGCTCTCCACTTGCCCCTCTTGCTAACCCAGCTCAACACAGGCGTGAGCGGACATCTAAACGCACATGGAGGCACCCACCCACGCGGACAGGCACCCGAGCTTCTGCAAAACACACACAAACACACACACTCCATGAGCGCGCAGATGCCCACGCCGCGGCGCTCTCTACTCCGGCTGCCACCGAAAGCCCAAAGCCCRGCGGTCTCCAATCGCTCCAGGCTTCCCCACCCCCACCCCATTCCTTTAGACTCTCCCAGCCCAGGCGGAAGTGCCCCAGCAGACCCCCAACAATGAGGACTTGTGTGATGCAGTTGGGGGTTGGGGATAGTTTATACGGAGTGAAACGTACACAGTCTGGCGGGTCCAGGAGGAGGCAAAGCATTAGCCAAGTGGCACTGGCCTCGCCAGGCAGTTTTCCCTTCTGCCCACTGCCCCCCCCCCCAAACTGATCCACCAGCACCACCAAAGAAAAGGAAAAGGYGGAAAAAAGTGCCTTAAAAAGTGCAGAGAAAAGAAGCGCCCTCCCACCAAGGCTCACAATAATACTCCGCGGGACGCAGCCAGCGGAGGCAGCAACTAGCCAGGGTTTGGAAATTCACTTTGTATGTACAACCATTGCCCCTTCCCGATGCCAGGACTCCACTCCCTGCCTCTCCGGATTCCCTGAATTCGGGATTCTCTAGGCGGTTGAGATCCCTTTTTATGGTTCCTTGATGACTAGAATCACAAGGGTTTAAACTTTCCCCAGTAAGGAAAAAGGAAAAAAAAAAAAAAAAAGACTCTACACTCGAGGCAGAGAGTGGAGTCAGAAGCCCAGAGAGAACTGGTGCGGGCTGGTGAGGATGGAAGGGGAGCAGCGAGATGGCAAGCGACCCGGGGGATGGAATGGAGGAGGACCAGCGGCAGAAAATGAGGCGATGGACAACCCAAAGAAGGGCTGGGGTCCGAAGAACACGAGATCCAGCTTTGACAGTGTTCGCCAAAGGGTTGGGGTCACTGGGAGAGATCCGGTTTTCCCAGAGGTCGAGGCAGGACCGCAGCGCTGCCATGAAGTAGAGGAGTGAGAAACCGGGTTTCGCCAAGTAGGGAAGAGGGTCCAGCCCCCGGGCGCCACTAGCGAGGCTGGGAAGTGGTTTGAGGAGCACAGGGCAGGTTCTGGAGTGGGAGAAAGAAAGCTCGGGACGATAGAGCCTGGACCGCAGGAAGGAGGAGGATGCAGAGGKTCCTGGAGAAAGATGAGTGTTTTGAGACTAGAGGATCGCCCGTGGTCAGAAGTAGGGAAATGAGGTGGGAGATTGGGGGTGAACAGAGGTCGCCCCTTGCCTCCCAATAAGTAGAAGGAGAGGGTCGAAAACTGCTGCARTCGCCATCCCGCAGAACCTCTAGCCAAACTCCCAAGAGGCGCGCCCCGACAGCCCTCCTTCTCACACTGGCTCAGAGGGTCCAGAGGAGCCACCCGGGCCCGCTGGCGCAGTGTCCTCGCCGGGCACCTGCTCGCGCTGAACTCCAGGGCTGCCCCGTGCCCCCGCCGCGCCTCACCTCGGCTCGCCCAGAGCATCCTCCTCCTCTGCCGCAGCCGCCCAGGAAGCGGCTCCCCATGCCCGGCGGGCGGCGGCACTCAGGCGCGCTCTCCAGCCCGGGGAAGCCCCGGCGAGCGCGGAGCTGAGTCCATCCTCCCCGGGAGCCACGGGCCCCGCGTCAGAGCAGGGGGAGGAGACCGGGCCCGCGCAGACCCGCCTCCTCCCGCGGCCCCCGCCCCGCCGTCCTGCTGCCCCGCGCCCGCCCGGCGCCCAGCGGCGCCGCTCACCTGCCCGCTCTCTGGCCGCCGCGGGTTGGCCGTACGCAGCGCACCTTCGCCTTTAGCCTCCGGGCACCAGCTCCCTCCGGGTCGCTCCCGCGCTGCCCGAGGAGTGCGCTCCGAGAGCTTAGAAGAGTCGAGGTGGCGCCGGGAAGGAGGAAGAGAGCAAGCGAGCGGGGGCGCCACGGCTTGCAGTCGCGTCTCTAGAGCCCCTGYGCTCACTCCCCATCCCAGCGTCGAGAGCGGAGCAGAGAGCATGGGGTCCCCGCCCCAGCTGCGCTGGCTAGGAGGAGGAGGGARAGGAGGGTTTCACAAAGTATCCAGTCTTTGCGTCACCATTACCAGCAACAGCCCCAGCCCAGCCTTTCATTTTTCTCTGAGGTCTACTTTTACCCAAACCTCTAAACATACTCATGCCCAAGCTTAAAGAGTGCCAGTGGGCGAAGACAAGAAGGTTGGTTCTCCCTCTTGCCCCCCACGTCCCTTGGCAGGAGAGGGCGCTAGGTCCCAGCGGCCAATGGTGTCTGGGTGGCTGTGGTCTTCACTGAAGCTTTGAAGCTTCCGCGGCAAAGTTGGGGAAGGGAGAAGTTTCCGCAACTGCCACATTTTCATCAGTCCTAATGAGAGACCTGCRTCGCTGAGGGTGTGCAGGTCCCAGTTACTTCTTCCCCAGTTAGTTCTACCCGCAGGCGCTCCAGTCTTGGAATGCTCTGGAGTAAACCACCTTCAGATCAGAACCTGTGCAGAAGACTCCATTGATCATATACACTGCTGCTACTTCAGATCCTAACTTATACTAAAGTTCCTAGGAACACCAAATCGCAGAAAATATTGGATCAGTCTGAAAACTCTTTCACCCTGAGACTGAATTCAACTTTGGTCAATGCCTGTCACAGCATACCTGTTTCCAGTGGCCCTATTGGGAGTGGATGGGAATCAATTAAGTGCTGCCCCTTGGATCCAGCTGCCAAGGAAAAAAGGATGAGCCAAACAAGGGTTCCTTTAAAAAGTTTATTTTATGTATTTGTTAATTAATTGAATATCCTCTTCTGAGAAGTGTCTGTTTATGTCTTTGGTCCATTTATTGATTGCATTATTTGGTTTTTTTTTTTTTGTTTTTTTTTTTTTTGGTGCTTAGCTTTTTGAATTCTTTAAATACCCTAGAGATTAGTGCTCTATCTGATGTGCGAGGGGTAAAAATTTGCTCCCAAGATGCAGGCAGATTGTTTCTTTTGTTGAGAAGAAACTTTTTAGTTTGAGTCCATCCCATTTGTTGATTCTTGGTTTTAATTCTTGTGCTATAGGAGTCTTATTAAGGAAGTTGGAGCCTAATCCAACATGATGAAGATTAGGCCCTATTTTTTCTTCTATTAGAGGCAGAGTCTCTGTACATCATATCTGGCAATTAAAGAAATGTAAATCAAAACTACTCTAAGACATCATGTCACTCCAGTAAGAATGGCAGCTATTATGAAAACAAACAACAATAAATGTTGGTGAGGATGTGGGGAGAAGGCACACTCATACATTGCTGGTGGGACTGCAAATTGGTGAAGCCAATATGAAAGCAGTGTGGAGATTCCTTTGAAAACTGGGAATGGAACTACCATTTGACCCAGCTATCCCTCTCCTTGGTCTATGCCCAAAGGACTTAAAAACAGCATACTACAGGGACACTCCACATCAATGTTTATAACAGCACAATTCTCGATAGCTAAACTGTGGAGCCAAACTAGATGCCCCTCCATAGATGAATGGATTAAAAAATGTGGCATATATACACAATGGAATATTACTCAGTAATAAAAGAGAATAAAATCATGGAATTTATCGGTAAATAATGCTAAGTGAAGTTAGCCAATCCCCAAAAACAAATGCTGAATATTTTCTCTGATATAAGGTGACTGACCCATAATGGGGTAGGGAGGGGGAGCATGGGAGGAATAGACGAACTCTAAATAGGGCAGAAGGGTGGAAGGGGAAGGGAGGGGGCAGGGGGTTAGCAATGATGGTGGAATGTGATAGACATCACTATCCAAAGTACATATATGAAAATATGAATTGGTATGGTCATACTTTATATACAAAGATATGAAAGATTGTGCTCTACATATGTAATAAGAATTGCAATGCATTCCACTGTCATGTATTTAAAAAATAAAATCAATTTTGTTTATAAAAAAGTTTATTCTTTTCAGGGGCCACACTCCTGTCTTCCAGCTGTGTAATAATAAAGCCAATGTAGTGGACTTTTTTTTGTTGGTGGTGGTTTGTTGTTTTTTGTTTTTGTTTTTTTTTTGGTTGTTCCCCCCGCCCTTTCCCTTAGTAGTTTCTGTCACCCATGAAAATTTAATGAAGCATTTTCGGTTATTATCTCCAGAGTCAATGGGCTAAAAATATTTACCCTCTTGCACTCCTTGTGGAGTCAATAGGTCCATGACTGGTACATACAAAGTCATGGAGAGACCCTCCCTTTTTCCACAGAATTCACGACCCATTAAACTTATTCCATAATAACAGCTTCTGTACAAATGGAAGCCCTGGAAAACTTGACTGTCAGGCACCTCCTGAAAAGACAGCAATTTACATAGAGACAAGAAAAATTTGTGAGGTCATTGACAGGATGCAATCTTGGGAGAATAATTGATCAAAGGAAACTCCCAACAAGGTAGGAAGGAGGTGCTATCCCTAATAACCTTCAGTTTTTTACTACCTCTTCTGTGAACAGCAGATCTAACAGTGAGGACCAGGTCAACTGGCTCAAGTTTCTCCAACTTTTCCAAAGTTGTAAAAAGTAGGATGAGTTGCCACCAGGGACTCTTCTKCATTGTGTAGGACATTCAGGCTGGTCACCATCTTCATTAAGAGGAATAAAACATTTAAATTTCTTCTTGTATAAAGTCATACCCTTGGAGTCAAGACCAAGACAACAGAAAGAATCTGAGAAATCAAGAGTAAAATGTTCCTGGACAAATTAAGTGGCTGGAGAAATGTCAAACCTGGGACAACGGAGCGTAGGTCCTGCTTTTTTTCACTGACTCTATGTCTAAACACTTGAATGTTCTCAATGCTTTAGGAACACCAAAGCCATTTACATGCATTTTAAGATGCTGCATGTAAGAGATGCGGTCTTCACCTGCCTTCTACCTTGATCTGTTTTCAATTGACATTGTGGTTGCAGAATTGAAGGGATTCTGAGCTGGTCAAGTAATGGAAATGTCAGAGAATGTAAAAAGTCCACCAAGGAAACTGGGCAAATTTGCATAAAGTTCAACAAGGGCGACAAGCAGCTGTTCCCAAGTCCAGGCTGGAAGAAAGCATGATCTATAGTTGCTAATTGCATGCCAAGGATCCAAAGGCCTTCTGGGTTAAACTAAATCCACTCTTAAAGGAATATTTTGTTGTTATACTAAACATGTCAAAAAATAACTTACCTAAAAGTTAAGGTGTTGTTTTTCTTTTTAAATACCAATGTCATAAGCCTGGCTTAGTGGGGGGGGGGAGCTATAAACATTCTTTTATCACCTACTTTGAGAAATAGCAAATAATAATAATAGCAAAGATGCATGTTATTTATATACTAGGCACATTTAGGAGTTTTTCTCCTATCATACATCTAATGTCAGGGAGGGAGGCACTCTTACTGTAAAATATAGAGCATGGATTTGGGGATCTGATGGGCTGGCTTCTTCTCTCACAGGTTACCTCTCTATTTCTAAATTCTCCACTCTGTAGTGTTGATGAATAATACATCCTTCACGATATTGCTGTGAGCCTTAAATGGGATAATACGTTGGACATGACTGACATCAAATAAGTCATCCAGTAAATACTGGTATTTTTTCCAGAATAATTCTGAAATAGTTTGTTTTAATTCAAGAATCCTTGATGGAGTCCATCCTATATATCAAACACTGTGCTAGTCATTGAGAATAATGGTGGCAAATTAGAAACAGAATCTGACTTTGAGGAATTCAGAGTCATGGGCATGAATAGCATACAGATAGACAAAATGGCATGTTTTTGAACTTCACATGGTGAGCCCTCTGCACATGATTCTCAAGAACTCAAAGTGGGGAGCTTATATAACTACTGTTTGAAACTGATCAATGATTGAAAGAAAACTCACTGTGAGAAATCATAAATCTTCCTCCCAGTAACTCCTACCAAGGAATGAATGCAAATGGACAATTCATATATCATATTAAATTTCATTTATTCCTACAATTGTTTCAACATTCCTTTCATTGGATGAATTGTAATAAAATGAATTTGCACTACAGGTTTTATTTCTTACAGCTTTATTGAGGTACGTTGATAAATAAGCATTGTATCTATTTAAGATGTACAATGTGATGTTTTGACATATGTACACATTATGAAATGATTACCACAATCAAGCTAATAACATGCATCACCTCACATAGTATTGTTACTATTTTTTTTATGTGTGTGATGAGAGAACTTACAATCTACTCCTTTTTTAAAAACTATGCAGTGCCTTCTTATTAAATATACTCACAATGCTGTACATTAGATTTCCAGAACCTATTCATCTGATAACTAAAAGTTTTCAGCCTTTGGCCCAAATCCCCCCATTTCTTCCACTCTCTAGTCCCTAACAACCACCTTTCTTTTATCTGTCTTTATAACTTTGACTTCTTCAGATTTCACATGTATGTGAGATGATGCAGAATTTGTATTTCATGTCTGGCCTTTTCACTCAGCATGATGTCCTCTAGGCTCATGCATGTTGTCACAGATGATAGGATGTCCTTCTTCTGTAAGACTAATACTCCTTTGGAGCTATATGGCCCCTTTTCTTTATCCATATACCTCTCAACAGGTACTCTGCAGGGTCTACTGGGAATAATGCCTCAAGTATCTCCTTGAGGCATTGATA